AAAAACTCAAGTATCCGGATAACAGCAGAATACCTAAGTACTTGGATATAAACACCGCATAGTACTTTATATATATATATATATATATATATATATATAAATAAGTTAATATATTGGAAGAAAGTTTATGAGGAAATCTTTTATGACTCATTATATATGAAAACACACATAAACAATATTGCTGCGTTAATATTATATATTTTATTTGTATAAGAAATCCTGTAAGCTTTAAGATATATTGTTTTAAGATGCATCTTCGTATGTAGCGTAACATACGCTGAACAATTCTCCAGCATTTATTTTACATATTATTCGAAGGACAATATAGTTAGCTGCATTTAAACATGTAGACAGGACGTAAGTAAAGAAGCTAACAAGGGCTTTAGTCTTTGAGTCCTGTCGTAATGCCGTCCCTGCATGTATTCAGTCAGGGCGTCGATAACGATATGCATATTTTAAGTCGGCTTAAAAGGCGATAGTCTTCGAGGAAACAGGGTAACGCTGAAGTAGGTAACGTGAGAAACAGAGTCCATGAAGATAATGTTCCCGAGGAATATTTATTTAATATTAGTTATGAGTAAACAAGTATGGATATACGTATATCTGGACTTTTCTTATTTAATGAAAATATATGCAATTGCTAGTACTGGTATCTGAAACATTTTATCTGCTATAATATTTTTCATTATTATGATCTTTAGGTTATATATTCTAACTAAATATATGTATTATTGTATTAAGTATTAAGTATCAATATTACCAGTGATATTTTTATGTATTATTAAGGAATTATAGTACACAGATGAAACCGAAGCTCCCATAGGAATATATGAAATTTTCCATTTTACCATGACGAAGGTATGGAATTATTACTGCTGTGTTACGAGGGGGACGTTCGTTTGTTCCGTTTCTCTTCGTGCGGTATTGCCAATCTCGCTATTGAGTATAGAGAAAAGAAATCGAGTTTAGTATGATAGATTGGGCGGGTTGACAGCATCACACGACGGTCTTTCCGTCTCCTGTCTCGCTCCAATCTTAACTAAGGGTGGTCCACACCGGGTGCGTCCCCATAGAGACCCTCTATTCTGGACCCCCTGAAGCATGTTGCGGAGGCATGGAGGGAAAAAGGAACGCTATTGTAAGTTCTCGACCAACCAAAAAAGTTAACCAACCAAAATCTACCGAAATTGCCCCACCATTCTGCTCCGCCCATCTCGTTACTTTTCTTTCTCTTTCCCTCTCTCTCTCTCAAATTTTTCGTGTTATAACGGATACATTGCGTGCTGTAACACTTCAATCGATTCCAAATGTAGCCGTATTTAATTAATTGTATTAAGTATATCTTAATAAAAATAACTTTCACTTGTGTTTAATGGTTTAATTAATAGGTTTGTTTCATGGTATGTGAGATTGTTTAAGTGGGATGGTTGCAAAAAATCATTATTTTAACGAATTGTTCAATTTTATGTTATTAGTTTTTATTACACTTGTATATATAAGATATTGCGTATGGTAGTTGCTACAAAAATGTATAATTGCGAAACACCCTAAAATTGCGTCTATAATATAACAAATTATACGTGCAGCAAAGGATTTGTCGAGAAAAATTGAATTGTACGTAGTGTATCAGAAACATCAAGATATAATAGTAGAAGTAAAAACGAGAGGGGTTAAACGAGGGTGACAAAGTTTCATTTCGGTTTGCATGTTCCGCTGCAATAAACGTCAGTCCCTCTAGTGCCTACGCTGGCGTTATTAATTCGATTATAATGAGCTATTAAGTGAAACGCTGGTAATCCTGACAAGCTCCATCCAACGACTAAGCTCGCACTCACTCTCTGAGTTAGAAGATTGCGGGGAGCACCGTGGCTGTTAAGCAAATTAGTGTGAAGTTAGGGGAACCGTTCCGACCTTTTTAGGCGTTATTTTCAGTGGGCTACGCTACGTCACTTTTATGGTCATCAACTCGACACTGAATTAAGTCGTTTTGCTGCACGGTATTTTCAAACTAAGCTGTTAAACTTTGCAGTCGTATTCCTTCATCAGTTTTCAATCGATTCCTTTTTTAATGAAAATGTCAGGAGGTCTTAATAATCTCTCGATTACAAGCGTTATTGACTTTAGCGTAATGTTTTATATGAGTTGAATATTGTGTGAACAGTTTCAGTTGAGAGATATCGATTAAAATAATTAAACAAAAAAACTATGCTGTGTAGTTTATTGATGAAATGGATAACGAAGATATTTACATCTTAATATCTTAATGTAGACAAGGAAATATAAACAAATATTATATTTTCCTCTTGATCAAGATATTGAGTTTTGATTCATACGCAAATACGCTTGTTTAATAAACGAGTTATCTTATCAGCGTCAGGAATTAATCTGATAAATATGAATACAAGACGGTTTTACTTAATCATGAATCTTATCGTAATCATTAATCTTATCGTAATCTGTTTTTTAACGTTTTCGCTAGTGTTGTACAGTCTAAATCCAGCGATATGTCATGTTTATATACGTAGAGATTGTGAATCAGGATTCTATATTCACAGTATTCTCTCTTTATAAACACATTCATGTATAATCTCGCAACTTATCATATCTCACATGTGAGAAAAATTGTTATTATTTTCCTGTAATTTGAATTTCTCTTATCGTGACGTTCCGCATTCTAATAATATTTATATACCGTTATCAATATATATATATAATATATGTGTACAGAAAGATATCGTGCACAATGAACTATTGAGATTTATATCTCTCAATATAAATTTCTTCAAAAATTGTTAGATATGTATATCTAAGAATTTAATATTCATTGAATAAAAGGTGCATGATACTTGCACAATAATTGCATTTAATGTTATTTAACAAATAAATAAATTAATTTAAATAAATTTT